CTGCCCCGGTCTCCCCCGAGTCAGCCACTGGTCAGTTTCAACAGCGGCTGACTTGGGGACGCCTGGGGCAGAGCAGCTGGGGTGCTGCCAGGTTGGTACCGCAGCACCGCCCTCCCATCCCACACGCCTCATAGCTTCCCCTTCCAATAGTCCATCATATCTGATAATCCGGCACCCCCTGGGTCCTAAAGGTGCTGGATTATCAGAAGTGTACTGTATTAATGAACCTGTCTCTAATAAGGCCAGCTAAAAACTTTTACCATTTACAAGAACAATTTCCCCATTTGAAGGAAGAATTATTCAGCTGCCAGGGCTTTTAGACCCTGATATAAAGCCTGCTGAAGTAAAAGCAAATGGAAAGATTCCCACTGAATCTGATCCTTAGGCTTGGTCAAGAACGATGTAATCAACTACATAGTATCTTGACTGGAAGACAACATAATATTATCTAATCAACTGTTCTATACATGTGCAGTTACATTCAGATTTCTCTTATGGCAGCTGATGTTCTACATTGCAACCTGTTTGTTAGAGCTAGAAAAATTTCATGAAGGTCTTTAAATCTCTTGGAAAGCACTCTCACATCCAGCATAATCATGTGTCAAAATGAGCTCATTTGCCAGTATATTGTTAAAATTGGTAATTCATTTAATCAATGCCAAAAACTATGTTGTCTTAAACATTAGTATTTTGCGGTTCATATCTGTTGCTGCTGCTTTGTAACTTCTTTATGCAGACAAAGATGAAAGCTGAGAATTTATGCAAATAGAAAAACTATTCTAAAACTAATTAGAAAGCATATTATTTTTTAAGTATTAAGATGACTAGATATAAAAATATCAGCTAATGAGGAGTCGAAGCACTAAAAAACATTTTTAGTTCCAAGATATTTTACTGTTTTTTATGTATATTCCAGCCCAGAGTTGGCCACCAATACTGCACAGCAGTAAATTGGCACTTGAGATTTCCTTTCTCAACAGAATTTGAATGCTAATTATAAACTGGGAGGAGAGAAAAATCATCACTTCAGGAGTCTATTTCTGGAAGAATTCTAACACACAACGTGCACATACAAATTAAATAGTCACATATGGACAAAGAGGAGGCTACATAAAGAAATAAGAGGTCAGAAAGTTAGAAAAATAGAAAAATTGTTGATAGCAATCATGAAGACTTCCTGTGCAAAGTGGAATTACATAAAAAAACTTGATTATAAGAAAACTCTCTCTTGTTTGCTCTTCATAAGATTTTTTTTGAATCCTCCATTAATTCTAAGACAGGCTATTTGAAGGAATTCTGTGTCATCAAAAAAAAATCTAATTTTTATGGGTAAAGATGTGACAAGTTAAATGTAGTACCAGTAGTTTTATAGGATTTAAGTTATTTCTTTAATTATTTCTAACATGGAATCTAATCACACTATCACTTCTGCATCAGATATCAATAACAGACAAGGCAAAACAGCAAAGTTGAAGTCTAAAAAAAAAAAAAAAAAAAAAGGGAAAGGTTATGTTGGAATTTGTTCCAAGGGCAATAGAAAAGAATAGCAAATAATCTACATATATAGAAGAACGTGGATCAATCTTGTTTTGGAATAAAACAGACATGATTTGTGAAAGATACAGAAACTGTCTGTATTCTTCTAAAACAGTCATATCACATAAGACATAAAAAGGATTAAAAACAGCTCTGAGCTGTAGCTAGGGGACCAAGCATGGGAGGCCTTGCAGCAGCCAATCAGAACCCAGGAGGGATTTATAAAAGAGATGGCTGGCTAGGCTGCGCCCTGGAGGGAGAAGGACCTAGCTGCCTGCTAGCCAGGGTACCATGGACAGAGAAGTGCTGTGGAAAGACAGGGTTAGCCCAAGAATGCCCAGCAACAGGAGCCTGAGGGATATCAGGAAGGCAGCCAGGGCAATCAAAGGCAGCAGGTTCACACCCCCTTGCCTATGATGAGTGGCCATGTAAGACTGCAGTTTGTCCAGGAGGTAAGAAGCTAGATTACAAATGGCAGTAGGGTCTCTGAGGAAAGGTGGGTGTATGGGTTTGGGAGTTCCTTGAGGGGGAGGACTCCAGAGCATGGCGGCACTGCCGTGGGCCAGGACCTGAAGGGAAGGGCACCATCATCTTTGAGGTACGTACGTTCTAAAGCAAGGTTGCAGAGACAGCGATTAACAGAAAACAGTAAGTGCAACACCAGCTGGAAAAGGGTGCTCCAGCGTTGAGCAGTGCTAATTCCCAGTGACCAGCAGTAGGTGCCACGCTAGTGAGTCGCACCATATTACACACACATATAGTATACAGTGGCCACAACTAGATAAAAATACAATTTTCTTGTATTAGTGATATTTCCTTCAGACAGCACTATTTGTTTCCAGTATTGTGCGAAAATACATAATCTTCCATCTTTTCTTTCAGATTATAGAGGATCATGGATCATAAAGGAAGGAATGGACTCAACATTCAAGCTACAGGATTCACCCCTTACCTGACAGGTTTGTTTTCAGGGCCTGTGTCTCTGAAGCCCATCTCTTCCAGTTTACAGCGTCTGTAGAGCTCATAATGGCGTGCATGAGTCTGCTCTCTCAGGTCTTCCATATTTGTGCAAATAAGCATCTCACGAAGCTTTACAAAGTCACAATGGTTCTCATTTTCCACTATTCAGTTAAATAATAATAAAGATATTGACATAAAAATATACAATTATACCACAGAATAGTATTTTCTATTCAATTAGCTGATTAATTTTTGGGGGGGAGAAAAAGGGAAATGTTGCTAGTTTCTTTTACTTAGTAGCTGCCTCATGATTTAAGATAAACAATGTTAATAGTTAATGCTCAGATTATGTATTAGGCTCCATTATTTTTCTTTTCAGGACTCCCTATTAGATTTACAAAATACATTTATTTTTCTCCTCTGTTCTGATATAGTGGCCTTTTAGCACGTGGTAGTGCCAGCAGCACTTTAAAAATGCAATAAAATAATTATTGCATCCAAGATCCAATGGCCTGATTTTCAGAGATGTTCAGCATTCATAAATCATAATTCATAATTGTGTTGATGGGACCCGGAGGATTAAACCACAAATTTTTTGGATCAGCTAGCCTAGCAATCTGACATCAGCAGCCAGCATCAGCGCACTTAATATCAAAACAAACACTTCTTCTACTTAAATGGGTTTGATAGTGAAAGCAGCATTCACATACCTGTGAAAAATATTATTCAAAATTCAGATTTTACCTTGTACAATGCCCCAAGGATATTGTCGAACTTTCACCATTTTGTTGCCAACCTTCATTTCCTCCCCACTACCCACTACAGCAAATGGTAAATGTCCCTATAAAAACAGTCAAAGCAATTCAGTCTTATCTTCCTGTATTCTGACATATGAACTGGAAAACAACTCTTGAAAATTAAAACAAAAAAACAACAAGCATTTGGAAACAAACAAATGTAATTACAGGTCAGTTTCACACTGAGAATCTATTTAAAAAGAGCAATAACTAATCAAATGCTGGTCTGCTAAGGCACTAAAGGACTTCGGAGGTTGAGCAGAGGGCTGCACATGTCACAAGGACTTCTGTTTCTCAAATCCAATACAATTGTCACAGGTTGCTACACTAGGGCTATTTCTACACTCACGGCTTCTTGAGTGAGTAATATGCAAATGAGGCTAAGTGTGGAATATTGCCACGCCTCATTTGCATACCTAATGAACCACCAGAGCCTCATTTGCATACCTAATGAGCCACCACTTTTTTCAGAAGAGGCTCTTGCGCAAGGAGCGTCTGCACTGCCCCTTCTTGCACAAGAAAAACCCTCTTGCGCAATGCTGTTCTTCCTGAAATGTAATAGGTGTAACAGCACTGCGCAAGAGGGTTTTTCTTGCACAAGAAGGGGCAGTGTAGACGCTCCTTCTTGCGCAAGAGCCTCTTCTGAAAAAAGTGGTGGCTCATTAGGTATGCAAATGAGGCTCAGCGATATTCCACGCTTAGCCTCATTTGCATATTACTCACGCAAGAAGCCACGAGTGTAGACATAGCCTAGGTGTTTTAAGTAGTTGACCCTCATACATCACTTTCTATTTGAAAAGGCCAGAAGATAATTGCTCTACCTGGGATACAACCTTCCTCAAAGCAGAACAGACATCTTCAGCATCCACCAGTGCCAAACACGAGGCCCATCACAGGAAATGCAAAGCTTGAGGCCTGAGATCATGCTCATGCCATTAGGCAGGAATTGTGATCTGAACTAGGGATGTTAAATAGCGAGTAAATGACTAATTAAATAGTCAATGCATGTCAATAGGTTGCCTCAGTCAATAGCTTGCCTCTGCCTTTGAAGTGTAGCAACAGCCCTAGGGCAGTTGCTACACTTCAAAGGCAAAAGCGCTTTTGGAGCCATGGGTCAAGCTGGGGACTCTCCCGCTGACCCCGGGCTCCATGTGGCACTGACACTTCAAAACGCCACAAGGAGCCCGGAGCCAGGCTCCTTGTGGCATTTCAAAGCAGCAGCGCCATGTGTAACCTGGGGTTAGCTGGAGACCCCCTCACTGACACTGGGCTCCATGCAGTGCTGCTGTTTTGAAACACCATGGGGAGCTTGGCTTCAGATTCCTTGGGGCTTTTGAAAGAGGCAGTGCAGCATGAAGCCTGGGGTCAGCTGTGGACTCCGCCACAGATTCCAGGCTCCATGAGATGCTGCCGCTTTGAAGTACCACTCTTCTTCCCCACCTTGCTGTCTCTTTCTGTTAGAGGCAGCAAAAGGGGCCGGGAGAGTAACTAGTCAACTAGCCTATAAACTATACGATAAGCAAGTTAACTAGTTGTTCACATCCCTAATCTGAACACTGAATGACTGCTCCAATACTTTTTCTTCCAGTTTAGTTAACTAGGAAGAAAATTATTAGAGTAACACAAAGCTTTCCACAAAAATAGGAATTATTTTCTGTCAGAATAATCCATGACAGTGTATCAAGACATTGCAGCACTCCTATTCCCTGGCTCAAGTGATAAGGGGAAACCAATTGGTCATTCAGGCTGCACCATCCATTTACGTTCTTGAACACATGCAACCCCCCACAGAATGTTTGACGAGCAGTGCTGACCAGTACAAAATCCATATACACCAACAGCAGGATCCTCCACAGACAGTACTCCAAGAAGAAAAACCTAGCTTTCCCTCAACTTTAGTTTAAGGTGATGAATACCATCTACCAATATAAGAACAGGGGGATTTTGGCGGAGATAGGAACCAGATCAGATAAATGTTTCTAAATTTTTCCTTAAGTTGGTCTTTTTTGACCTATGTAAATATCCAATTTATTACAAATACAAAACTCTATTGCCTCAAGAATGTGCAAGAAGAAGCAGTGGTACAGAGGATACTTTAATACTGGAATATCAAACATTCTTTCAAATGTATGCAACATACTTACATTCATTGTGGCATTAATTTTAGAAATGGTTTCATCATCTGTCGGAAACTGATATATCTGGACTCCATTACTAACCAATTCGCTCATGAGTTTGATCTTAAACTTCTGTAGTTCAGTTTTAGAAATGGTGTCTGCTTTGGCTATGACTGGTATAATGTTCACCTATTAAATGATATAAATTGCAAACATGTGTAAAAGATTTGTTTTCAAGCCTGTACATTTTATATGTTAAAATATTCAGTGGCTTCCCATAAAGTCTGAATTAATTTCTAACAAACTCTCCACAGACTCTTACATGACTGGCTTCAAAAGCCAACAAAATAATAAAAATGTTGTGTACATTTTGAAAGTCCATACTTTGAACATATTAAGAAAGCTATAATATATTACTTAATAATCCCACCAAAGCTGATCAGAGTACTGGACTACTCGTTTCCAGCCCCCTTGCTGCCTCTGTATCAAAATCAGCAGCAAGATGGGGCAGGCAGCACCACATACACGGCTCCCTTCAGCACCAGCTCCTGTCCCCTCCTCCCCCACTGCCTTTGATACACAGGCAGCAATATGGGAGGGTAGCGAGTAGTCAAGTACGCAACTTGACTACTCGCTTACATCCCTAATATTTATTGATAACATAATATCTTGACTACGAATTCATTCATTCAAACTGGTTTCAAACAATCTTACCTTGCTGTCAAGATTCTTCATTGTTAACAAATCAAGTGTTTTAAGGGAATGGCCTGTAGGTGAAATAAAATAGAGGCAGACATGGATGCGAGTGTCATGGTAGTTGTATAAGGAGCGTTTAATTTTCAGTTCTTCCTGGAGATAGGCCTCAAATTGTGCATCTATATAATCCACTATTGGCTGATAGCTGGAAAAAAATTTGACATGTTAGCAACCAAAGATTAGTCTCTGAGTAGGACTAAAAAAGGGAATCCCTGTTATATTTTTCTGCATGCCACTGCTTTACATATGAACTTTATACACTGAAGCTCAAGAAGCCTTACACTACAATAGGATATTAAGTGTATGGATAATGACCAAACTGTCTATGAAATGTAAAAATAAAGTTACTGACTCAGTTTGAGAAACTAATACAACACAAAATGTGAAGGATACAGTTAAATTCTTCTTTGCTACTGGTGATGAAAAGCAGTGTAGTAGTTAGGCTTTTTACTGAAATCTTCAGATGATCCAGTTCATGGACTTTTGTAATTTATGTACAGGCAGTCCCCGGGTTACGTACAAGATAGGGACTGTAGGTTTGTTCTTAAGTTGAATTTGTATGTAAGTCGGAACTGGTACATATTATAGGGGAAACTCTAGCCAAGCATTTCTCCAGAGCTCAGTTTTATTCTCCCACACCTCACTTCCCTCAGTCCTTTATTCTCAAGCTGAGGTGTCTGCTGAGAAAAGCCGCTCCATGTCTCCCTGGTCTGCTGGGAGGGGTGCTAGCTTTGCGTCTCCCTGGTCTCCTGGGGGGAAGCAGCTAGTGCGGGGTTGCCTCACCCCGTTTGTAAGTAGGGATCTGATGTAAGTCGGATCCATGTAACCCGGGGACTGCCTGTAGTCTCAAAAGTCAATCTTGAAATTAACAGACTATTGCTACAAATAGCATGTGTCTAATACAGTCCATAATTATACTTTCACCTCTATTGAAGATCAGTATTGTGTTTTGAGGACCTTTATTACTGGTAAGACAGCAGGAACATATCCTCTAAAAACTGAGACCTGATTTGTACTTTAGCTACATTTTAAAGGACTCTTTGCCATCTTTTTTATGATCCACATTAGAAGAGGACCATAATATATCTTCAAAACATGCTATTGTGCACACAAGGGCAATGAGTGGTTACTTAGTGTTTGTTGCTGCATAGAGGGTACACCAATCATGGGAGGCAAAAATTTAATGGTACTGATTCCATGGAAAGTGAATTTGAAAGAGGCAGAAGACAGTCCTGCTTGCAATATGAAAGATTTTACTGCATATTAACATCTCCGGCATCTGAGATTTTTCTTTATCATCTAAGCATTGCTCATCAAAGAAATGGCAAAGAATAAGCACGTCACTAGCAAGAACTCTCTTTTGTTGCTAAGCTAAAGCTGTAGGTTATTTTATATTATGGAAGTAAACGGCCAACTTCCCACCACGCCCAACATTTCTTGTTGCATAAATAATTATGAAGAATGCTTCATAGTTCTGATCATTCCAGTAAGTCTGCAGAAAATGAGTTAAATAATTATGAACATTTAAATTCAGCAAACTGAATTGACAGAAAAGAACTTCTAAATTCTAGTAGCTGTGTAATGCTCCACCCTCTAATTAGAGTGTCCAACTTCACATGTACCTACATGTAAAAAATCTAGATGATTTTTCTTCCAACTTGCATTGTTTTGTAGATCCCATTGAAACTAGGGATATTAAGTATATTTAATTAACTAATTGAGTAGCTGATGGAATTTCCATTGACTATTTGATTAGCTGATAAAGGGGGAGGAGGGATGCTCCCACTGTGGTTCTACACTTTAAATATAGTAAGAACTTGCCATGCTCTTACTACATTTAAAGTGCAAAGCTGCAGTGGGGACGGTGCTGGGGAGAACTGGCTTTTAAGCTGGTTCCCCTCAGCACCTGCTTCTGCTTCCCCCACTTCCCTTCCTGCTTCTGATACTGAGGCAGGGGGGAGGGGAAGCGAGTAGTCAAGTAATCGCTCAACTGCCCAGCTAGTTGCTTACATCCCTAATTGAAACTTAAAAAACACAAGTCTACAGAGAATGTTCTGTAGTGTAACTTACTATCTGTATAATTATATGAAAGTTCAAAAAATGTCCATCACTATTATATATTTTATTGATATAATTTGTAACACATTATATTATAAAAGCATGAACACAAGGGCAAACTGATTTCTTAAATGACTTGCTTGACAAAAAGAAACTACAAGCCATTAATTATGTTGGAAAATGTATAATTAAATAAATGGAGTAAGTATGTAATTTGTACCATGCATTTTTTAAAATCACATATCTAATCTGAAAAGTCAACTCAGACTGCAGTTCAAGACCAAGGTTACTTAGCATAATCAAATTCTTACCACATGAGGAAACACTAACCTATCTTCTTTGTTTATCTGGTCACCAAATCCCACTGTATTTACAATGGTTAGTTTCAATCGAACATTGCTTTCTTGGAGTTCGTACGTCTGAGCTCTGAGTCTTACATTTGGTTGAAAATGTGTTGATACACGGTCATCAAAACTGGTGTTAAACAAAGTATCTATCAAGGTTGATTTTCCAATTCCAGTCTCCCCTTTAAAAAAAAGTAAGAAGTTTGTATTTGCATATATTTGTACAAAACATAATAGGTGTTATTTATTACAGATATTTCCTCTTAAAAAGTTTAAAGAGAAATAACCTGAAAAAACTGGCTCCTCCAAACATAAAATCATATTCTTCTTTTTGACCCTTAGAATCGTCTGTAAACGTGTTTTGTACAAAAAAAAAATGTCAGTGTCTCATTACCCCCCCATGAACTGCCACTCTTTCTCCCCTCCCCAACCTGCTGGGGAAGTGGCAGAGTTTGGTCTGGAGGGGAAGGCTGGGGTTTCTACACCTCACTCCCCACGGCCTGCCAGTGGGAAGCCTGACCTGGTGCTGCAGCTGCACTGGGATCCCCGTAGTATGCGGGGAGGACTGAGCTCCCTCCCTCCCCCTCACCCCACCCCGGAACAAGTGTGTGCTACCTGGAGGCTTTCCCTGCTGCAGCAGGTTGCTAAGCCAGGTAAGCATCCCCCCTTATGCCCAGACCCCACACCCAAATCCCTCACTCACTGCCCTCCTCCCGCCAAGATCTCGTATTCCCAATGTGCTCTGACACCCTGCCCCAAGACCTCTCCTGTACCCTCCTTTGTGGCCTGACACCCTGCCCCCTCCTCAACCCCCCCTCTTGGCATTATTATCCTCCATATACCAGACTGAGGTTTCCCCCTCCCCCGCCCTGGCTACCACAGGCCAGGGGTTCCTCGAAATTCTTTCAAGTTTAAAAGGGTTCCGTGGCCAAATAAAATTGGGAAACACTGCTCTAGAATGTTCCTTCAAACCTTCAGTTACATGTCAAATAGAACACATGTACACACAGTTTTCCTGCCGGACAACAGAGGGAAGTCATTACATCACTCTGCATCCTGCCTGCCACCTCTCTCTCCCCCACACTGTCCACCCTTCTCCCCGGCATCTGGAGGGAGAGGGTGGGGCCTCAGCCTAGCTCCCCTCTCCCCCTGCATCCGGGGGGAAAGCCAGTGCTGTCGTGGGAGGTGGGGAAGAAGAGGCAGAGCTGGGACTGGCCCAGCCTCAATCCCTCCCCCTGGCAGAGAGAGAGCCATGGCTGGGCCAGCCGGGGGAGAGGGGCCTGGCTCTCCCTGGTGGAGAGCTGGGGCTGCCCAACCCAGAGGGGGGGGGTTGGCAAGCGAAGCAAGCAGAGGGTGCAGCCCCCTAGTATTTTTATTTATTTATATATAATAAGGGGCTTTCTTCCATAGCTATTATATATATATATATATATGTTAGTAACTGGTGGGTGCCACAGTGGCATACATCCAAACAAGTGCACATGACATCAGTATTGGTGCACAAGAAAAAACTCACTCCACTCAGGGATGGAAAATCTTAGAGGGAACACTGCCTGTGAGCATTGAAGGGAGTTCTTCTCACTAGAATCTTAAGATTCAAGATTCGATTAGTGTTTTATAAATAAGGAATAAAGATAGTTTTGGCATGCTTATATGGGCCTGCCATGGTGGCCTTGGTTCCAGCAGCCAAAAAATCAGTGGGGAAAGAGAGAAAGAAAACATTAACACCAAGAAAACTTAACTGGGGTAGCTCGGATTCTGTTACGTGCAATACTTTATTTATGGGGAAGAGATGGCTATAAACCATAAGTTGTAACAAATCCTAGAAATTAGTCATGAAACAAGACTTAAGGCATTTTTTATCCTGGTAATTGAAAATACAGTACCACAAAGTTAATCAAAAGGATGGTTGTGAACAAAAAGAGGTGTGTTATGGTTCATAGTTAATAAGGCAAAACTACCCAATACATGCTGTATCAATACTGCAGTCACTTCATAACAGTAACCTTATCATCCACTTTTAAAAAATATCTGTGCCAAGAGACAGCTTATGGTCAATTATTTAATATTTTCTGCTATAAATAATAAAAAATATTACTTACCAATACAAAGAATGTTGAAACAGAAGCCTTGGTTGATGGATTTGTTAACCAACTGATCTGGTAAGCTATCAAAACCAACGTGGCCAGACAAAGATAAGGGTCGACAATTATCATTTTGCTGTGGAAAAAAGGATTACTTAAGAAAATATGCTGTAAAACAATTAACAGTGATAAAAAGGAGATCTATTAATAAACTACAATTCTTCTTTAGATCTGATAAGTGGCTAAAGAAAAAATTAAGTTTGTAAAGTCTGTCAGTGGAACAGTAAGTATTCATTTAGTGAAATGATGGCATAACTAGTTATGTTTTGCTGTAGCCAGTTAACTTGTCATCAAAGGCACTGAAGTAAATAGGACTACTCACATGATTAACTGATTAGTGAGATCAGAGACTATAAACAAAAGAAAGCACATTGGTCTAAAGAAAATAGAAACTTGTGAATGAAGGATATCTCTCTATAAATACAAAAAAAATATCAAAGGAGAACATAAGGGAGTATAAGAATTCAAAATACAGACTGAAATCTTGAGGAAAGGTATATATAGATAAAAACGTATTCTAAATGTGTGAAGGGTGAGAACTTTTTAGTGTGATAAAATTACCCAAACATCACAATTATAATAGATATAATTAAAGTACCAAACATGTATAATTCTTTTAAATTTATTAAATAACTAGATGATTTACCTGACAAAGCTCAGGTCCTAAACTCAATTAATTTTGTTTTTTGAAAAATAAAAGGAAAATGCGCATGCGTCATTTAAATCATTGCTCTGGGGTGGAGCTGGGGATGAGGAGTTCAGTACACAGGCTGCCCTGAGGAGAGAGGTCTATCCCCGTCTTCTCTCATCACAGCAGCTTGGAGCCAGGTGAGAAGTGCCTCTCCCTGTCTACTGGAGCTCCAGCAGATACAGCCAGGGTAGAGGTCCATGTCCCCTGGCTGGGGCAGGTCCAGGTCCAGGTTCGTCTGCCCCCTGTACTCCTCAGTCGGAGAGCCAGAATGAAGAATGCAGCAAATTGTGCACTTTCCCCTTGCTAACTGACAAAGGGGAACAGTCAGCATTGTTCCCATCTGAATTGAAAGAGAGCATCAGTCCCACGCCCCCAGCTCTTGCCCTTCAAGGGCAGCTGGGGGGGGGGGGGGGGGGGGGGGGGGTGGAAGGCTTAGAGCTGGGACAGTCCCAGATGGAGGGTACATGCTCACAGCCTGCCCCTTTCACCTGCCTGGTGATTCTGTCTCTAATGGTTTTATGAGCGGCAATCCCATTCTAGGCACATTTCATTTTCCAGGCACAACCAAACCCTTAACTTGCTGTAAGTTATGAGAAGAGGAAGTGTATACGCAATTTGGTGGTCCTAGCTCTCACCATTTAGGAGGAATTCTTGAACAGACAAATGGACAAACTCTCTCAAATATATGATAGATGAATTGGTACTTAGATACCTTGGTGATGGGTATATGAAAAATTCCTAATATAAATACTCTAAAAGGAAACAACATTCTTTTTCCACATACTAACTGTAGAATTATAAACGCAACTACAAAAACAACTAATCATAAACACATTGACAAAACCATGATTAGCCACAGGTCCATGTTATTCTGTGTTCCTATGTTTCCAATAATCAAACCATCATCAGTTTCCTGAGCCTTCCAATACTGCAGCATCCTAAGAATTAACCTTAACCTGGGTTTACATCCTAGCTTTTGCCTACTTCCCTAAGGTCAGGTCTACATTGGCAGAGAAAAATCAGTGCAAGATATGCAACTCCAGCTACGTGGATTGCATAACTGAAGTTGAAGTATTTTGCATAGATTTTCTGGGGCATGCCTAATTTTACCAGACCCATTAAACTGAATGCCGGAAGACCAACCTCCAGAGTGTCAATCTTCCCAGAAGTATAGATGTGCCCTAAGTTTGTGGGGGTTTATTTAAATTTAGAAGATCAGGGAAAGTGTCATTCTTTATATTGAATATTTTTTGACATATCAGTCGGATCTTTTAACATTAGGTTAGTACTTATGAAGCTACTCTAAATCTTTCTAGTATGCATCCCTTATAATAATTTGAATATTTATTCATTCTCTTTTCATGTTTCAGGTGTGTGGAGAAAGGCTACTCTCATTCTCATATTAGACTGGTATTTCTGGAAAAATGTAAACAGACAAAACAATTTAAGGAGAACACACTATATTTTAGGACTACCGAATATGTTGATTCTAAAATTAACATGGCATTGAATGAAATAATTCAAATATAGTCACAATTTGAAACACAGAAAATGATAAAAAAAAAATTAGGAAAGGTACCGTATTTTAGCGGTTTTTACAAACCGCGCAGGGTATACTTGGGTGCAGGGTATACAAAATTGTTTTTACACACCAGCTCGTCGCCCAGTTCCTCCATAGCCGTAGGAAGGGGCAGGGAGAGCACTCATTCAGATGTGCAGGAACCGGGAGGCGAGCGCTCCCCCGCCCAGTTGCTGCGCAGCCTCCAGCCTCCGGGCAGGGGAGCACTCACGGCCCGATTCCTCTGCAGCTGTAGGAAGGGACAGGGGAAGTGCTCATCCGCCTGCACAGGAACCAGGTGGCTGGCTGCTTTCCTCCCTCACCCCACACCATAAATATACCCCCGGCACAGCCTTGTATACCCCGCGGGTTATATTCGTGTGCGGGGTATACACAATTTTTTTTAACTCAAAAAGCAAAAACCGCGGGGTATATTCGGGTGCAGGGTATATTTGGGTGTGCGGTATATTCGCTAAAAGACAGTACTCCAATGTGTGAGAGCCAGTATTAAAAAAGAGACAGAGGGGATTGTGGATGAAATAAAACAAATGGAACATGGAATGCCTGATGGAGCAGAGGGGGCAACATCAACTTATATAATAACAGCACTTCTGTCTAACAAACCTAAAGATGCAACTTGGCATATGAACAAAAATTAGCTATTTTATCGTTTCATAACACCCACAATTAAGATTTGAAACACAAGGAATTTTTAGAGTTTCAGTATAATAGAGGGATACCAAGACTTAGGTCAATGGCCTAAATCCTAGTTGGGTCCTAAATTACCAT